ATGAAGCTTTGAAGAAAATCCATGTATTGTTCTTAGTCAAGAGTCTTGGCTAAGTATTATAATGGAAGTGTGATCTTCTTATTGAGTTATTCTTGATACAATCACTGGGATTGGGATTGTTAGATATCACTGCGGTGATTTAGGAATTGAGATGGCGAATTATCATAATAATGAGGTTCCTAGATATAAGTTGTATTGGGAATGGATTAGGAGAGAAGTTGTAAATTTGGATTGTTTGGCCTTTGAACTAATACTGCTAATAGTGGACTTCCTTCCTAGCTTAGTAGCCCCCAGAGTAGGTGATGGTGCACCAAAATGGGTTAACAACTTTATGTGATATTTATCATTTTGCAGTTTAAGTTTCAGTATCTGTTATAACTTGATAAACATGTTCATTCTGCCACCAGATGTTGTAACATTTGCAATGACATTATTCTGATGTTGGGACATCGGTATTAACATGTGTTGCCTATACCATGGAAATTTCATGGTTTTTAGGGAGGTTTTTCTTGACAGGCATTCAGTGATCGTGAGATGACATTCCCCAGTTCTTGGAATTCTAAAGAGGATTTCCCATGTTTGATCGATCTTTGAATGACTTTCCCCTTTTGGATTGATTCTTGAAGTAATGTGACTCTGATGGTACCATCTTAGGATTTTCAAATAATTTCCATTGTTGGAACTTCCTTAATGTTAAGTGTCGACTTGTAGAATAATTTGTTTATCCAAAATGGTAATTTTAATGCGACGTGCATCCAAATTTTGAAATGGAATCATTTATTGAAATGATGTTTTGGTGTACAATGGGTAAATTATTGATGAAGGTGTAATAATGTTTAGAAATTCAAGGTGTGAAAGATGATATGAGAGTATGGTATCAACACAAATGAATAGTAAACATTTAGGAGTCATATTAACGCAACCTTGTTGTAGTATGCTTTCAAAAGAAACCTCGCTTCAATTAGGTCTTTTGTATGTTGTACAGAGGGATGCTTCACGTTTTATGAAACAAAGGATATAAGGCTTAAATTTTGATTTTAACCCACCCCATTCTTTGTAATGATCTTCAGTCCCGTGTTCAGTTAATTTGACACACAACTTCCAAGAATATTTGCAGGTGATTAGGGGATAGTTTGAGAATCAATGGATTCTTGAGGTGGCAATCACCTATTCTTCTTTGAATAGTCACACAAGTTTGTTCTTGATTTTTCTTTTCTTTTGTCAAGGATTTTAGGTAATCTTTTTTTGTTGTTATCCTTAATTTTTTCCTGGACTATTTCTTTTGAGCTCTCATTCCAGTGAGATGCCCTTGTTTTTTCCTAAGTCGTTTGACGTTCTCAACTTAGAAGGAAATCTTTGATTTTTTTCTTCATTTTTTCATTTTTTTTTCATTTTTCATTTTTTGTTTTGTTTTGGAACAACTTGTATGAAACTTGTTTGCTTGATTTGAGAGAGTGAGAGGTTGTGACTGCCATATTGATGGTTCAAAACAAACAACCATTGGAAGCTTTTGATTTTCACTACTTCTTCGACATTGTGTACAAAGAGAGGATGCGGTTGCACCTCTTATTAGAAGGTAAATGGAATGGTTCAGAATGATTCTCTTGGAAATCGAATGTATTAGTCATTGTAACTTAACAACTACCTTTCCCCGTGTTAAGATTAAGATTTTTTTATGCAGAAATAAACACCAACACTATTGCAAATAATGCATCTAACGTCAGACGTGAAATACGTTTTACCTCGGCATCTGAAGCGAGGTAAATAAGTTCGTCGTGAAAAGTAATGACTTATCACCTAGATGTTTAACACACTGAGGGATATTTTAATAGTGCATGGGTTCGATCCAGACCGTCTGGATTTTTTTACTTACAGTAATAGTGCCTCATGTATCTCGGTTTATCAATAAAATTGAGGGGTAAATTATTAGTATCTTTTTTTTAATTTAAACTAATTACATTGTTTACACAGAAAACTAATAAAATAACTTATTTACAAAATACAATGTTTACCCAGAATATTAAACTGGTTACATTATTTACACAGAATATCAATACAAAATTTAAGTTGTCCATGAAGATCATATGTTGGATCTTCAAATCCTTGATATCCTTGGAATATCAAATGCTGGAAAACAATATATTCTCAATTGATTTTCCTTGAATTTGTTTATGATATTAACAACAACAAAAATGTTAGATAAATAAAGGGTTAGATGAAAAAAAGGTTAGATAAATAAAGGGTTAGATGAATAAAGGGTTAGGTATATAAATATTTAAGAAACACAAACCTTAAACGCAAACAATTTTCTACTCTTACAATCCATCATAGAGAACACTTCATAACAAAGACTCCTGCATATCTTAAAGTGGAGGATAGTTTCAAGCGCTTCATGATGTTTTTGATATTCATAATGCTTTTATAATGGAAGTTAACCTAGGTTTCACGCAGATCGCTAATGGTAGTGTATTGAGTGTTGATAGTCATTAAAATGGACGACAAGGATTTAATTAAGGGCGGTACAAATATCATCAACTTTAACGCTAACATATCCCCTCAGTTTTGAGAAAAACCAAGGTGGAAACAATTTTTAGTTACATTGTTTACAAAGAATATTAGAAAATTAATATTACAACAAATTCCCACTACTACTTTAGGCTTACTGAATTTAACAAAAGCATAGCCTTTATTCATCCCAGTTCTGCAAATTAGTAGCAAATCATACAACATCAACAATCATCATTATTTTTAATGTATGAACACTGAATCTTCTAGAGAAGGAATTTGGTAGCGTACCTGAAATCTATCGGAAAATAGACAAAATCATAAGAGAAAGTGTTTTCAACAACATATCCTTGGTGGAATCCAAATTTTGTTGCATACATTTATGTTGCATATCCAAAAAACACTCCATAACTTATCCATCTTTGGATAACTTATTTTAATTTCTGCACTTGCAATCCATCTCAGAGATCTGTTCTTAAGCAGTTCTAGATCAAAAAATTTCATGGCAATGGACAGTATGTAATATTTCTTGTATCTGTTGCGGCTACATATAAGTTAGAATTAGGGTCAAATATGATAAAGGAAGGTATTTATAGTAAAAGTTGATTACTTTACCCCTCGGATTTACCTTAAAACTGAGGTATATTATCTTCTGATTTTATCTATCACCTCTGTCTTTTTAAAAAACCGAGGTGAAATGTATTTTTTTTGAACTTACATTGTTTGGACAAAATATTGAAATAAATAGTTTAAAAATAAATCTTTGCTCCTTTGAATGAATATCTTCGATGATATCCATCATCCAATTAGTTAAACTCCCTTCTTTGTGTAACTTTTGAAAAGACAAGGGAATTTAACTTCCTTCATTGTATCCATGAAGGGAGAATGAGTTTTCTGCACTTACAATCTATCAAATGAGCAAAAATACAACAATAACACCAAAAAAAAACATCAACACCAACAACAAAATAAACACTATTATGTGAGATAGATTGCAAAGGCAGAAAAAACATTTTCTGTCTTGCAATTCATCCCAAAGAATGATGCAATTTCGAGTTTGGGACGACTAAAAGTAAGTAAGGATTAGGGTAAAATTTGTTTGCTTTTTATAGTATAGTCTGATTAGTAGACCCCTCGGTTGTATCGAAACATCGAAGGGTTAGTTAATTTAAATTACAATTATAATAAAAATAAAATATAAACTACAACAGTTAAGATTCGAAGCACCTCCAAAATAATTTTACCCGTCAGATTTATTAGAAACCGAGGTAGGTTAATACTTTTCCCATTAAAAAATATAATACATGGCGCGCCTAGGTTTAATACCTCATTATTTTTCTGGATGACGTGAAAGCTCCATCATGAAATGCGTTATTTGTTGTAGTGCAACTTCTAGGTTCAAAGGGGTTGACGAGGGATTATCTTCCTTATATCTCCGGTGTTTAGGGATATATATATATATATATATATATATATATATATATATATATATATATATATATATATATATATATATATATATATATATATATATATATATATATATATATATATATGGATTCTAGTGTTAGAATTCAAGGTGGCAATATCATTACAAAAACTCAAAGTACCCAAACAAGAGTGAGAAACGAGTCAGTGAGCAATTATACATGATTTTACACACCAGTCTTTATATATTTAAGAAAAGTCTTTACCTTTACTCTCATTTATCTTTTCAACAACTTACTTTTCCATTTACATTGCTTTTTTATAAAGATTTCGACACATTTGAAACTCTTTGTTTTTCTTTACAACGCATATTCTTTGTTCTTTATAAAGTTATAGTCGACTTCTATTTTTACAACAACAACCAAATACTTTTTTAAGAGCTTACACATAATTTGTCCTAGGATTTACTAGTCGATCCTGCAAATAATGTTTTTGAAGACTAGCAATTGTTTGCCAAAAATACTGGTAAATACCAGCATGTGAGCGTTATACTTAGGACCCAAGTCTTGAGAGTTGTATCAAATCAAAAGATACCTTGATCCTTCCATATTATTTCTTTATTTTTTGAACCTTATCCACCCACTTGATATAAGAGGAATTGTTGACCAAAAGAGATGAACGAACTACAAGGTTTCTCATGAAACTAAAATCAAAAGGTATATCCTCAAACACAATGGGTTTCCATGATGAGAAACTATGGAAAAATATCTCTAAGTTTTGTGGTTTCTTATTGGGTCTGGGTAGAGGGCCCATGAAAGCGTGGACAATAACTGCAATGTAGTAAGAGATTAGTACATGAGAGAATCAAATACCATTTTTTCTTCTTGCATTGGAGGTTCTGGGACATAAGTGCAACTATCTCTTAAAATGAGACTTTTGAGCTTGGCAGTAGAAGGAACATGTGGTTGAGGCTTACTAAGAGAATTGGAAGCCAGTGTTTTCTTGAGAAACGTTGGGTGAAATAGCTCGTTGATAGAGAGAGAGTGAAAAGTTATAGAAATTTTAAAATGGTTTCTAGGGCTCTGAAGAAGAAGAAGAAGAAGAAGAAGAAGAAGAAGAAGAAGAAGAAGAAGAAGAAGAAGAAGAAGAAGAAGAAGAAGAAGAAGAAGAAGAAGAAGAAGAAGAAGAAGAAGAAGAAGAAGAAGGAGGAGGAGGAGGAGGAGGAGGAGGGGGAGGAGGAGGAGGAGGAGGAGGAGGAGGAAGAAGAAGACGATAAGGAAGAAGAAGAGGAAGAAGAAGAGGAAGAAGAAGAAGAAGAACAAGAAGAAGAAGAAGAAGAAGAAGAGGAAGAGGAAGAGGAAGAGGAAGAGGAAGAGGAAGGGGAAGAAAAAGAGGAAGAAGGAGAAGAGGAAGAAGAAGAAGAAGAAGAAGAAGAAGAAGAAGGAGAAGAAGAGGAAGAAGAAGAGGAAGAGGAAGAAGAAGAAGAAAAAGAAGAAGAAGAAATTTCAATTTCTCTCTAAAGAAGCTGGACAAGTGGCATCTCAAAATAGACACTTGGCAATTAATTTTTTGGGGAAAATTAATATAAATAATTTCTTTTAAAGTGATTTAATTTTATGGTCCATGATTGTCCTAGGAAATCATAGTGATGACGACAATCTGCACACAGGTCCTTGACGTGACGATTTGGTGAAAAGTGGTCATGATTACTAAGATGTGTGTAGGCTATCTTGAATAGTGTCGAGCAGTTACAAAAAACTATACCTTTTTTTATCTCATACATTTGATTGAAAGTGGCATTTTTGTGAGGCATCTCTTTTCCTGGAAATTTTAGCTGAATGATTCGATAGAGAATGATGATAATCATGTTTGAAAATGACTAAGTATGAAGAGACACAGTCTTCGACACACTAGCCACATCGACCAAAATGGTTTGACTAATTTACTAGGCTTGGTTTGGGAGAGTCTAAGGAACATGCCACAAGGTTAGGATCACTCTCTCTCTCCAAAGCGCGTCTAGAATCTCAAAAAGGTTTGCACAAATCAATTCTTTGATAAAGTGTCGAGTTCGACACTTCCATCAAATGTTAGGGACTTAGTGAATTTTTTAGTCTAGAAGTTGATCGGAGACTTTCGACAGAGGAAGTTAAGGGGTTTAAAGCCAGATATCAAAGTGATAGTGGGTTTGCAATAGTTTAAACATTAAAGACACGTGGAAGGAAACTAGAAGGTTGAAGCCCGCGTAAGAGGATACATGTAAAGTTCTATGGAGATAACAGTTGTCAATGGTTAAAATTGCATTAGTATATAAGTTGATCTCATTTATGTGATTAAGGTCGCAAAATTCATCAAGTATTCTCTGTAAAACTAAAGTATCCAAGTCACAGAGAGAAATAGTTTATGAGAAAATGTATGAAACTGCATCCTCTCTTTTATTTCTGTAAATCATTTTAATTGAAGTATTTACTTTAATTACATTTATTATGCTTTTTTTCTATCTTCTTCTTTCAAATAGAGTTTATGCCTAGTTTGTAAACATTCAAACATCTAAGTTCCAATCACAAACACCTTTCGTTGTATTTTTCTGCAAGAATTGTCCTAGAGATTTTTTTGAGTTTAATCTCTTAAGTGAACCAAACTCGTGATTTTTTACTAAAATAATCAATAAATACCTATATGGTTAAAATCTAACGTTCTTATTTGGGGTCCTAAGTCATTTGGTACTTTAAACTGTTGGTGGACTCATCCAAAATTCCTTTTTTTTTATGGATAAAGAGTGGTCTTCCTTTGTTGTTGGTGGTGATACGGCCTTTATTATTAAAGATAAAATTAGAATATTGAGGGAGGGGTTAAGATGGTAGAATAAGAAGATTTTGGTTGCTTGATTTGAAGATTGATAATGTTGTTAGTGAAGGTTGAGAAAAATATAAGAAAGGGGGTTTGAATTGGGTTTTTAAAAACTTTTTCTTTTAGAAATGATTTTCACAAACAATCAAGATAGAGAAGGTAAGAAAGAAAAGTGACACAATTAGTTTATACAAATTCACCTTAAACAAGACTACTCTTGTCCACCCGCCAATGTGATTTTGTCTTCAAAAAGGACTTAATCAACTAATCTTGAAAGGTTACAACAAATATTTAAGAGTTTAGAAAAACACATCAGTCCTCTCAAGTATACAGACTATCATCTAGTCACTTGAGGAAAACAAATCTCAAAATTTACAATCAAAAGTGTTTGCAATAGAGTTTCATTTAACACTACAATTAAGAACAAATGTTTACACACAAAAATGAACAACTCTTGTGTATATAAAAATGATAGAGAATAAATATTAATACCAATATAAGCAACATCTATTTTTGTTTTCTCTTGGAATAATATTTCTCACGTTAATGATCTTTATACAATAACTTCTCTTTTACTGTTTCAATATTTTTTTCTCCTTCAAAATTCATCAACTTCTTCAATGAAATAATTTCCTTTATATAGGTTAAGTGTGGATACCCCATTTTTTCCCCTAAAATTTTCCATTCATCATGTTTGTTGCATTGTAACCATGTCATCTAGTCATGATTCATTTTTATGTCTTCATCTGCATCGCATTTTATAGATGAGTTTCTTAACCATTTGTTGGTGTTATTACTTCAAGTTTGTTTTGAATCCAACCATGTCATATTTTATATATAGTATTTTATCAATAATTAAATCCACTTTTAGTTGATTAGTTGAATTTTATTTTCAATTATTAATTGAATTTTATTTTAGTTAATAGTTGATCCAAATTCATTTTTAGTACGTATCTCAATTCATGTCCAATATTCATCCACGTGTCTATTTCGATATAAGTTAATCCATTTAGATTTTTCAATTAACCAAAAATAATTCACTGCATTTTTATTAACTACTTGCATTTGTTTCCTTTTTTTTTTTAACTTTTTGTTTCTACTAATATTTTACAGCAGTAATATAATTTCACAGTACAGATCAAGTAATACATTGTATATTTTGCAATACATGGTTTGAAATAAAAGTTGCATCGAGGCATTTGTTACACTTTTATCTGTAACAGTACAGCCCATTTATGTTTTTTTATCAATCTAGCTTCTTTTTCTTATTACAGTGGGCCTTCAGTATCTCTTGGGCTTTACTCAAGATACCACCAGATCTAGTTACACCCCCCAAGTCCTTTTTGATTATTTTACTCTTAATTTGTAATAATTTTATTTCTTTTGCAATTTTCTTTTAATGTATTGTTTGTTTACGGATAATATGAGTAAATAATTTTTTAAACTTAATTAATTTAATTATTAATTTAGTTGTTTAATCTATTTTTAGTTTGTTTAAATACTTAGATGGATGTGTAAGCTTGTATGGTTTGTATATTGCTATTATTTATCACATGTGTACAAGACTTTTTTCAAAGGAATTAATACTCGACTTCGAGCCGTTTTTATACTTCGAGTCGGCAAAGCTTTTAAGTATCGCAACGGCCACACATAGTGCACACACCACGCTTTCCGTTGGGCTTACAATGGAACTTTAATCGATTAATTAAAGTTCGTTTTAATTAGGCTATTTAAAGATGATTAATTTATCTAATTAATTTTTCTTAATCTAATTCAATTATCTTTTAATTAGTAGATTAAATTTATTTCGTGCATACACTTACACGATTTTAATTGTCTTATCATTTGTGTCAGCCACCTTGTATGAGCTTGTATGTTTTACTTGCTTATCATTATCCCCATTTTATCAAGTGTACCCCCATTCTCACGATGATGTAATAATTTTACCGTTTTCTTTATCGTTTTCCTTTACTTTGCTTGCTTGTTTATACTTTATCATTGCATGTTAATAAAATCAACTTAACCCCCCATCTTGGTCCATATACCAAGCATTAAAACACTTTTATAATCAAAAGTATCAAACCTCGATCCAACATCAAGTGACTTTTCAAAATTCTTTTCTTAAAGGGTTTCATAGTAGGGGGTAGGCACGTGTCTATTCTCTCAAGATTAATCAAGGACAAGTCACGTGGCTTGTATTGATTGATCATGACCCGACTAAAACACTCTTAAATGGAAGAGATAGACACATATCTCCCCTCTTTCTAAGTAATCAAGGACAAGTTACCTAACTTGTTGTATTGATTTCTCACTCTTTTCATAAAAAGGATTAAATGAGAAGGTTTAGGTACCTACCTTTTCTCACCCTAAGTGTGCGGGTCTCAAGTACCTACTTTTGACATTCAAACACTTATGTCCTATAAAATCTATTCAAACTCATTCAAACATTTTTTTCCGCTTGACTTTTTAATTTAAAACCTTTTCAAAAAGGGTGATTTTCCGTCCATTTTGCAACGATGAAGCAACGCTCCTTACACATGTGAATGTTGAGCCTTTTTCACTCGAATACGATGATCGCAAGAGTCCGTTCATAATCCAGACTTAGTCATTCATTCTTGAAGTGTTGGAATCGTTTCATTATCCATGTTTCGGGTAGCAATGTTTTCGTTCGAATGAGATTGAGTATCTCTTACTAAAAAGAACCAACAAACAAACATTTTCTACCCAAACTACGAAGCTCTGATTTCTCTATTGCACTATGGGGATACGCAGGCACAAGTTTTTGAAACCGTGATGAGCACAATAATAAAAGACAAAAACATTTCTCTTTTCTTTCTTTTCTCCTTTCTCTCTTAATAATTAGACGAATGCAAATTTTCATACTAACACACGAATGCATGATTAACTAAATGGGTCTCATCGAGTACGATGGATGTAAAGGGTTCTAATACCTTCCCCCTTGCGTAATCGGATCTCGTACCCTTCTCTTGGTTGCGATGGTCATTTCTTTAGCAAGTTTTATTCGATATTTTCCCTTTCCTCTTGGAATAAATAAAAGTTCGACGATGACTTTATTGATCGAATATGTTTCGAGGCGCTACAGTTTTAGAAACTTTGCTGGGGACCCATTCCTAAGGGAGTCCATCCTAGTTTGGTTTCTCTTTTCGTTTGTATATTGTTTGTTTGCTTTCTTCTTGCTTTCTATTATTATCTTGTTCATATCCTGTGTTTATTCTTATGTTGTGATGTTGGGATATTCATGGGTGATTCGTTATGAGCGAGACCCAATACATAGGTCTGAGGAAATATTTGGATTATAAGGGTGTTATGTAGTGCTTAGACTTGTAAGGCACGTGTCTTGCGAGTTGGTGCAAAGACCCCGCCTAGAGTAGTTTCTAATTAGGAGGTTATTGGCTTACACACCTGTGTATTGTCATTAACATTTTTTAATGGGATCATTGACTCTAGGAGCCTTTTAGGAACCCTTTAACCATGTTGGACTCTAAGAGGAGAATCTCTTTGAAATATTGTCACCTTGCAAGTCCATTGTGATTGATGACAATATTTCTGAGATGAGACCATTTATCCAAAACTCTTAGAGACTACCAGTGAGGGGTTAATGGGTAAATTGTTACCTTACCACTTTTCCAAACCCCAGAATTTCCTCGTGTTA